TTCTATTTCTGTTGAGATCAAAAGAACAGTTATGTCCCTCTTGCTTTCTAGATTTCACAGGGAACAAGTGTGCTCAGAACTAAATGTTGGGGAATTATTCTAGTGCCACTGAATTTTTTATTGTAGGTTTCCCTTGCTCCCAACAAGTACGCCGTATCCTTTTTACTACCTTTTTCTTCTTGTATTCAGTGACAATGATAGGAAACACAGTCATTATCCTTGCTGTCTGTGTTGATAAACGCCTGCATTCCCCCATGTACTTCTTCCTTGGCCACCTCTCTGTCTTGGAGATCCTGATCATATCCGTTGCTGTCCCTTTTATGCTCTGGGGCTTGCTGCTTTCAGAAACTCAAACAATATCTTTGACTGCATGTGTTGCACAAGTATACTTGTACCTTTCTTTGGGTACCTCAGAGTTAGCATTAATGGGAGCGATGGCTGTGGACCGTTATGTGGCTGTCTGCAACCCTTTGAGGTACAACATCATTATGAACATCCGCACCTGCATCTGGGTGGTAGTTGTATCATGGGTGTTTGGGTTCCTTTCTGAAATCTGGCCAGTCTATGCCACATTTCAGCATACATTCTGCAAATCAAATCTGTTAGATCATTTTTACTGTGACCGAGGGCAATTGCTCAAGCTATCCTGTGATGACACTCTTTTCACAGAGTTTATTCTATTTTTAATGGCTGTTGTCATTGTCATTGGTTCTTTGATACCTGCAATTGTTTCCTACACCTACATCATCTCCACCATCCTCAAGATCCCCTCAGCCTCTGGCCAGAAGAAAGCCTTTTCCACTTGTGCCTCCCACTTCACCTATGTTGTGATCCTCTATGGCAGTTGTTTTTTCCTCTACGTGAAACCCAAGCAAACGCAAGCAGCTGAGTACAACAGGGTGGCATCACTGCTGCTTTTAGTGGTGACCCCTTTTCTGAACCCTTTTATCTTCACTCTCCGCAATGACAAATTCATACAGGCCTTTGGAGATGGCATGAAACGCTGCTATCAACTCCTCAAGAATTAGCTCTGTCCTGCAGATTGTCCTCATTACTGACTCCAGTAATCTGAAGGTACTAATTTAAATAGAAAATAATCAGTCTTATCATCAAATATCTGGGGTTCACCAGGGAATTTTTAGGTACTGACAGTACTTAAATTTGTAATTGAATGCTTCCTGCATGGGATATCACTTCATTATTTTTTAATTAATATATATATTTACGTGGCCTCTGTAGTTATAATACATGTCACAAAAGAAATGTGACTAATGTAAATATCCAAAACTGTGTGATTTTTATACCTCTAGGACTTGTGAATGTGAAAAGGAAGTAAAATGTGATTTATTATCTGACGGCCGATGTAAATGTTTGATTCTACATGTCGGGATCATCCTCCTCTATATTGCCATACATTTTCATGGTGTCTTGTGTGAAGCTCATTATTGCTTCTCTGAGTGATCCCAGGTCCCATCTCAGGCTTCCGTTTTTCTTTTTGTGTCCTGCCTTCAATGTTTAACTGACGGTATCTCCCTGTGATCTTTTCGACTAGCATTTGTGAGAGTGAACTCACTCCATCAACCTGACTCCTTAGCCATGTTAGACTGGATGTGTGTTACTACAGGTGCGTCTGTTGGTGAACCTTCCAGGCATGGAAGAATTATCTCGGAAAGAAGCATTCTCCTATCTAACTTTACTCATATTATCAGGCCAGCCCCCAATGTGGAACAGCAATGGAGCTGTGTCCTGGGAGCTAACGTCACTATGGAGAGTTGGCCTTGCTGTGTTTTTGGACTGAGGAGTTAGTGAAGAGAGAACAGAGGGAGAGGCAGCCTATGGCCCCTCTCCCTGCACCTTTCACATTCTTTAATCTTGACATGATGCATTCCCCCTCGCTGCTCCCTTAGCTGCTGCTGCCCCTGCCCAGTTTGTTTCTTGATTCCTTTTTGTGTCTTTCTGTGAATACAAGGTTCATTTCTGTGTTTTCTTCCCCCTCCATTCCCTCACTAAGACAAATTTTACCAAGTTGCCTTCCAGCTCTGCACTAAGCTCCCTCAATCCACATGTCTTAGTTCCTGTAGTGCTCCATCCTCACCCCTGTTCCTCTAATACCCACTATTCTCAATTAATATTTCTATGTTGTCTCACAGAGGTTCACAGATTTTTTTCTGCTTCATTGTACAAGTAATTACAGAAGTTTAGTGACAACCTAAACTTTGATGAACATCAAAAGGCAAATACTTGTATAATTTACTGGTCTTTCTTTCAGTTGAATATTACACAACTGGATGAAGGATGAGGCAGTTTTCTGTGTCATTAAAAGAATAATCTCCAAGATATGCTGTTGAGTAAGAAAAGTAGAGATTAGAAAATTTTGTTTGTTCTCTTTTTGTACAAAAAGTGAAACTTATTTCATATTGATATTTGTATATATTTGCATAAAGAAAGTCTTGGATGGAGCACATGAAATTGGTTATTTGGGTGATGTGGTGGTGTTAATGAGACTCCTGGGTATAGTGATGGGAGACTCTGTATTGTACAGCTCTCTATATTGCTTTTAATTCAAATTCATAAAAATGTCTTACCATCTCAAAACTAAAGAAATCATCCTCCTTCTAATTAGAAGAAAAGGTTTGAAAATCTCATCTGATATAGAA